TCTCTCTCTCTCAATCTCTCTCTCTCAATCTCTCTCTCTCTCTCAAAATGGAGATTTGGGTCATTGATAATATTCGTAGAAAACACACACACACACACACACACACACACACACACACACACACAATGGAGATTTGAGTCATTGAAAATATTCGTAGAAAACAAGGGGATAAAATGGCATTCACTCCCCTCACTTACTTAGCTTCACTCGCAAGCCTGCCACATCCTTCGATGTAGCCTCCAACACCTCTCGCACTGAACCTCCTTTATCAACAAGAGCATCCTCTGCAAAGATGAACACGTTTTAAGAGCCAATATTACTCCCATCTGCACAGCCTCGATCACAGTGGCAGCCACATTCAAGTTTTTCGAAGTTCCACAATGGGGGTCCCCACTTTGTTCGACAGAGATACTTTTTCAAAGCGGGAAAGTAGAATCAACTGCATCAACGTGCCAAGGTTTTCGTTACCAAGCCACGTACCTTGTCACCGCCCTGTCAGATAGTGACAGATACCCTCAATTGCCTATACCCGCCTTGAACGTTTTGCCGACAGCAATCAACTGACTCAAACCACTCACGAAGTGCAAACGTAGGCTGGAGTAGAATAGAGATTAGCACCATCCACAAAAATTATAATTGTCTTGTACATAGCTCTACCTCTATGGAGAAATCAGCAACCAGAAGCTGCCTCGAGATCAACATCCAAGTCCACCTCTTTCTCTCCTCATACCACCATAGCCTCCCACTTGTGAACGGCAATATCACTGGTGCTTATATCTCACGAGCCTCAATTAGGTCTTCTCTACTACCCCCCCACCACCATAGCCCACATGCTCCAGCAAGCCAGCATGCACGTCAAGGCGCTAGCGCTGAAAAGTACAGATTGACAATGCTCAAATTAGCACAAGATAAGGGCCGATTCCACAGGCGTTCGAGCAGCATGGCAGTATCTCTTCCAGGGTGTGCCTGCCTCTGACTGGACCGGCCTGCTGACTTAACTGTCCGCCAGTCCAACCTCTGGGCCTGGTCAAGCTCAAGGCTGTGCTCAAATTCAATGAGGCTGGGTTGTAATTCACCAAGGCCAGTATCATGCATCTTTCCACTTCTCAGGCAGTGTACAGAAGTACCGGGAGGCTGCTGTACCCTGCAGTCAATTTCAGGCTACCAGATTGGCCAAATATTTGCCAGACCTTTATTTCCAGGTAATTCATGGTCGCAAGGAACTATGCAATTTCCAGGTAATTCGTGATTGCAAGGAACCATGCAATAAGGACACCAATAAACCAGAATGCCAAATCTCATAGAAGACCAAGCATGATTGCACCAAGTTGAAAGCAAGAACCCAAAGCAGAGTGCACAGTGCACACCACGTAGGAGCAAACAATACACCAGTGTCTCCTGATAAGCCTCCCTGTACACATGTCGTCCTATCTAATTCCTACTACTACATGCTAGACTATCCAAAAGCCTCCCTGTACACATGTTACTCAACTAATGCTGCTTGAAGCCTCAGCTCATGTAGGCTTCCATGGCCAGCACCAGGTAAGGGCCGCAAATCCCACTGGCCTCGTCCTTCCCCAATGTCCACACTCCACCACCACGCTTCCACTGTGCCAGCAATGGCGGCTTGCAGCCACCATCAATGCTGCTTTCTTCTCTATGGCTCTGCGCTCAGCATCTAGCGCAGCAGCGCTCATCCCAGCAGCTCCGGCCTGAATGTGTCTGGCAACATGGCCTCCATATTTTTGTGCTGTACGGGGAGGTCGTGTCCAGGCTCAACAGTTCCAGTAGGTCGCGGCTCTGGGCTACTGGTCCCTTGTGTGGGTCCCAGCCTCCGCAACCAACCCGTGGGCAGGGTTGGTTACAGAGGTTGGCTCCTGCCAACTACCCGGGGGCCCTCGCTGGCCTTCTCTTAGGGCCAGCGTGAAAAATACAGGCCTGCCTTCACTTAGGGCGGGCCGCGCCTTCCTTTGCCTGCCAAGGGCCCTAAGTCCTCACATGGTGGGAAAATTGCAGAAAAGTCATTCGTGCTCAATTTTAGAAAAGTCAAACAAGAGGGCAAATACACAATTCCCAAAATAACAAGGACAAAACTGAAATCACACCAAACCACACAAAGGGCAGACTATTTATAGATGTGGTGCACTGGCAGGTGCTTCAGAGTCGCAGGTTCTTGCATCTTCTTTACAGATGCAATTGAAATGCAAGCTATGACCACTGCACAGCCTCATCGCTGAAGGTCAAAGTGTACCACGGCAAAATTCTCCACAATTCAAGGGGAGCATTACCGCTAGAGTTCAGAACAATCAACATTGCCAAGGAGAACTAAACGGTAAGCTAGGCTTCTTGGTTCCCGTAGTTACATGCCTAACCTTACCATCTTCAGTATGCCCTACTTATGCTGCTCCATCTGAGTCTGCCATCAAGTTGCTATATCTGCAGGAAAAACACATAGCATCTGAAGTACCTCATGCGACAAGGCTTGCATGACAGTGCTACAAATAGGATGGGTCCAGCGCTAGTTCCTGTGAACGGACTCCGTGCAGGGTCGTCCACTGGCCTGGCAGATGTCCGCATCGTAGAAGCCTGAGCACTCAGAGGGAGGGAGCAGGAGGTTTGCCAGGGAAAATGCAAACATCAAAGAGACAACTAGAGAGGAAGAGGAAGGGCTGCCTGGGCATTATTAAAAAAAAAAAAAACGAAACAAAGTTGTTCGCTCTGTAATTTACCAGGGATTATTCCATTGCCTCCATTAAACGATGGAGAGATGGTGGTGAAAATGCAAGTGGGCCTTGGCCTGTGGGAGCCATCTAGTTCAGAAGTTCGCACACTCAGACAAAGGTTTTGTTCTTCAGCTTTGTATTGCCTGTTGAGCCCGAGATCCTTGCTGAATCTGAGAAGTTGACTGTTGGTATGCAGTTGCATCCTTTGCAGTTGCTCTTCACAGTTAATCAGTCAATGGCATCCCAGACCTGGTGGTTGCTTCGCTTATGTTTCATCAAAAGACCTTCAGTCCTCTTAACCACATGTTCCATCAGCGCACACTCAAAACCTCCAGCCTTGCCGTTTGGAGCATTGATGTTCCCATATGCTAACACTCAAGCTTGAGACTCACCGAAAGATAAGAGCCACTAAATAGTGTGATTCAAATACTGCACAACATTTCTCTTTCATACCTGCAATTTGACGTTTGTCAAGCATAAAGTCCCGCTCGCTTATCGTGTATTGAGCATCCTTCAGAGCCTCCCTAGTCTCCACCAGAACTTCTCTCGTGTGAGTAAGAGCTCGCTGAACAACACAGATAAACAGAGCAAACTGGAGAATGAAGAAGCCAGCAACAAGAAATCATCTCCCTCTCTCTCTCTCTCTCTCTCTCTCTCTCTCTCTCTCTCTCTCTCTCTCTCTCTCTCTCT